ACGGGAACCATCAATACGTTGTGTAGGTACTTACACAGTGCGGGTGTGATTGAGAAGCATGAGATGTCTCAGCCATAATTACCGGATACCCAGGAAATAAAATACAAGGGTATGATATTGCCATCATTTCTCGTTCATTTTACTCTCCCATTGCGACTCTAAATATCCTAAATATCATTCCCGGGGTAATGGTCCATGATATTATCTCGGCCGGAAATCATTTGCGACATTCTAAATTTCTATCCTTCCTGATTTCACAGTATTCAGACAGGAGAAGATTGCGAATGCGACTTGCATCGAAACATACGAGGTCGGAGGTTAAAAAGTGTCCGAACAGAATAGAACATACCTTGGGCAAAAGCGGCATGTGGGAGGGAGGCTGCGGGCGCGACGCGTAATTCATCACTTATTGGAAGTATGCGTATGTACTCTGTGCGCACTGTTGACGACTGTACTCTTGTGACCGGGACTATTTGTAATCCTCTCCGGGACGTCTTCCCCGGCCGGGCCCCCGTCCCTAGCGCGGTATCCAATTGGTTACCAGTTTCTCGGGGCGCGCTACTCCACGTTGGGCTAATGCTTTAGCTAAAGTAGCTAGGTACTGTACGACGGATAACAGTTCTGTTGGGCTGACTTGTGAGAAGACGGGAGTTACGGGGAGTTATGGGATAAATGCACAGTGTGTAGGTATGTAGGGTCCAAAACCCGGTGTCAACGCCCATGAATGGCAGAAAAGACAGGAACAGAACAGGGGTCCCGGGGGGGAGTGGGATTAGAAGCATCGATATAATACCAGACTTTATAGGGGCGAAAGTCCATCGTGACGACTGTGCCTGTCAGTGCTCACGATGATGACCGCGAACTCATTTCCAAGAGAATGGGCCCGGCCGAATTCGTTCAGATACCGAAGCAGTACTGTCGTATGGATATGGAAAGGATTTGCTGATTTTGCCCTGATTCTCTCTACTTGTCTCGTCGAGACGTCTCTGATCTGAATGTAAAATGAAGTTAAATAAAAGATGCTCAAGGAGATAGAGTAAACCGCTGGGAAACTGCAATTCCAACTGATATCACCGTCTCATTGCGCCATAGCCGTCGGTCCACCAACTGTCAGTCTCGGGGCGCATTATAGTGAGACAGCCCCCACAGGTGCATCTTGAACTGCCGCATTTCACGCGGCTGGACCTCGACATCCTCGACGCTATCTCCGTTGTTCTCCTCCGGGACATCGGATTTATCAGCCCTCCTCCAGAAAATGCATACAACGCGTATAGCTTGAACGCCCGCCCTAAGGGGAAAGGTAATCTCACAACTAACTACACCGGCCAGGCCCCGTTTTGGCGGAGATTACGCGTAGATCCCCCAAGTCCTGCCGCAGGTTGGCGAGATCACCTGCCCCGGCGACCAGGGGCGATCTTACATATATCTTACGAGGGAGTCTCAAGGTCTCAAGCCTCAAGGGGGTGGTCCCAGGAACCAAGTATACACTGTGTTACACTAACAGGTGAATATGAACGGAGGGCAGTTCGCGGTTATTGGTCAGTGTCCGCAGCAAAAGCAGTGATATATTGTTGGTCCTTGCGCATGTTGTGGATCTTGCCGGATTGAGACGTCCACGAATGTCTGTACCTATTCGTACATGTACTTACAGCGTACGTCTCGTATCCACCTCCTATGTATGTACGAAGTATGGAGTGCAAATACCAGGTATCCGTACTTTTGACTCCGAACAGGCTTCTCCATCGCGGTATCACCCGCTCAAGCTCCAAGACCCTACACCTACATACGCCACATGGCTACGCGGGCCAGTTATGTGTTGCCTGGCGAGACAGCCATCACCAAGGTTTTCCATTCTAGCTTAGATGTAGGAGGCCGACCTACCTAACTTCGCCGATCTGGGCGGAGTTGAGAGGTTGACAGGCGCCGCACGCGTTAAGTGGGGTAGCGGGTTGATCGTGCAAACCGACTGAGGAGAGGAGCGGGAAAGGCTGGAAGAAGATGAAGATGGAAAAGAAAAGAAAAAGAAAGAAAACACAACGGCGCCAGCGGCTGTCAAAGCCGGCTATGATCGGCTACCTCGCCGGCTACCTTACCTATCCTTCTTTGTCGGAGGACCCTTGCGTACTAATGTTGCCCAGAGATCTAGCATTCGTATCTAAGCCAGCCAATGCCGGTGGGGGGTATGACACTGTTGTGATTTGGGATATCCGCGGAATGCGATGTGACCTCGATGCTGCACTATTGTCGGGTAAACCTCGAGCTTCGACTTTTCTTGAGCAAGTTCACTTCACACCTCTGACCAGGGTAAGGAGCAGGCTGGTTAGAGGTCAGGAACGGGATTTCAACAAGGGGGTGTTACTGGCTTTTTGCCGCGGATCCTCGACCCCCGGCTTCCGGCTTCGCTTTTACCAGACAGATTTCGACCGCTCATCACATCTCCGACAAGGGGGGCGGGGGACAGAATGATCACCATGCAGACCGCGATGCACCACAAAAGTAGTGCGTCTGCTGCCTGCATGCCGGCCAATACAGCCAATAAGGCAGGTCGATCTCTTCCCTGTATGGTAACAACCTCTTGATGCGTCCAAACCGGGACGATGATAACCAAATGTGATTCCTCATTTCTGGAGCTCGAGTATCCATTTGGTGTCTTTCCCTGAACTACTACCCTCCCAAAAAAGGATATCAGGTTTTTTTTCTCGTCCCAACTCCTCCCACACTTTGTAATCGTCTTCATGTCGTTTGTCCTCGAACACCTTGAGTCCTTGAACCCGCATTATATCCGCTGCCCGCAAACGAAGGGCATCTGCCGCAACGCCCATCTTCTGTTCTAGGAACGGTTACCAGGTCGTTGGACCCTCGTGTCTGGCAGCTGCTTCTCCCTTGCCGCGACTCGATGCGGTCAACGGCGTTTACCGCTGTCGTGCAACCCTACGAAGTAGATACTCGACCTCCGTTCGTCTCGAGATGACATAGCAACTCTGTGCGGTATCTAGATCGAGCAGTTGGGAACATGATCGTTTGTCTCGCGCAAGTTGCATTTCAGCTGGGACTGCGCCGCCACCGGCTGACCTACACCTAATGCTGCTGCAAGATGTTACTGAACACGAACACACACTATGACCATTGCGTCGCGTAATGGGAACAATTTTACGGCATTTCCTTGAATATTGAAGATGAGGCGTATGACTGTCATTAGCAAAAACGACTCAATGGAAGGACTTTTTGTGTTCACTAGGGACATATAAACTTCCATGGTCTTATTCTCCCATGATCCGTAGCTTTCATGAGGCGTACTACTTCTCTATCATTCCTTGGAAATAGGAACCCCCCCCCCCCCGGTCGGAGTTATCTTTTGGTCGAAAGTTCTCGATCATCCCATGTTGAAGAGTTCATGTCTCGCGGGAGCGGAAGACGCATGGCTCAAATGAAGGTAACCTTGGCTGATGCATGTCTTCATGTTGTCTCTAGTGGATGAACGCAACAGCGTGCTTTCCTGCAAAATCTATTCGTAAAGGGAAGAAAACAAATGTACCGGGTAGGCCCGAAAAGCTTTTGCAGTAAAAAGAGATCGTCTCGCCCCGGAGACGGCGTATAAGTAGACCACTTCGTGACCGGGACAGCTAAGCCCACAGCCCCGGCCGAGAATGTTATGCATGTGCCACGATGCGTTTGTCGTGATATGACGGAAGGGGTCTCGGGGTCAAAGAAGAGACCGTGTGCCCACTAGTCACCAAGTTGAAGGTCTTACATATAAGAACGAAGACCGGTGAGCAACGACCACTTCCCGCTTCATGATATGTGACTAGCGGATGCTGGGAGGTAAAGTAAGGGATGGGTGAGATATGACAGCTGGTTCAACCACAAACCATACGTTGAAGCATAGGCCCCCTGTATAGAACCAACTACAGCTTGAATCGAAACTCGCAACTGTCGTTCCCGAGTCGTCGTGCATAGAAGTGTTCTCCATGATGATGGAACGCCCTGCTGTAAACCTAGCGTGGCGTATCGGGGGAACCGTCCGGTGCGAACGAGAAAAGGGGGGGAGGGCGGCCCAATCAACCAGGTGGCGCTAGCTAAACCACGCCTATCACAGCTTTGTTGAGTCGAGGACGACATGCTCCTGGATTCCGTTGTGGGCGACTTGTCTCACACGTCACATGTATAGAAAGAAAGATTATCCGAGTTGGTCTGCAGTTCAGCCGCCTCAGACCAGACGACTTGCACAGCTGGCAAAAGAGAGACAGCCACTAGAACAGGATACGTACAAATTCCCACGGGATGGAGTGCCGAGGCAGAAGGTCGACCAACTCCTGGCGACACAAAATGGCATCAAGACTTGGTATGGTTACGGTTACGGGTCCACCCAGGGGGACACGACGCGAGGACTACCTCTGAAGAGCTCTGTCAGTGGCATTAAGAGTGTCACTATGCTTGCACAGAGAAAGCCTTTGCCGGCAGCGAGAAGATCGCCGAACGGATAGCAGAGTGATCTTACACATCATGTCCGGAACACCCCAGGGGGTTCTCGTTCTTCACCAAGTGCCGTCTGTCGGCTGTCCGCGTGTGGAACATCGCGTAGAGTTGGATTCCTTCCAATATTGGAACCGTGGCGAAAGCCCATAAGGAACGTTACTTGCCCACTCTATACTGTACACCCTGTGATACTCAACCTTCCGCGGAAAGGCCGGCGGGTGCTGTTCAAGTGCGACTTGAAACCGTCTATCCTGGTTCGACCGGCGAGTGCACCGCAATACCCGGACCCACGGACCCAGGCATGCCACGTGGAATGCACTTTTGTAGCAGAGGGCTTGGCGGCATTGAGTTGGTGTAGCCTCGGTAGATGTCCCGGGAAGATGCTGATTGAGGTCCGACGCTGAACTTCTGAGCTGACATGACCCATAGGGGATGAGTCTCTCGGTATGTGAAACAAATGTCATGACTTTCTGTGAGACGGCAGGGAGGGTGTGAATCTTGGCCGAAGTCTCATACTGGAGGTCTGAAAGAGACTAATTCTTTTCTTTCTTTTCGACGCCGTGCTGAGACGCCGAAGATGCTAATGTACTTCTCCGGCCTAGAGCGAGATGGATCCTCAAGAGAAACCCTTGACTTCTAAACTCGAGACCGGGATTTAGGCGATCCCGTCTCGTCCTATCCGGGAAATAGACGGGAGCGACCATGCGCCACAGTCGGGCGACGTCCGAGGAACACAAAAGACGATGCGACACAGGTGGGGGAAAACGGAAGCGAAGGAGATAGGGTGTAGAGGGGGAGACGGGGGAGACGGGGAAGACGGGGGCGAACGGTGAAGTTGGTCTCCACGGACAGGTCTGGGGTGAAACGTCGCCATGAGCGGAGGCTTATGGTGGAAGAAAGTCGAGAGAGGGCTGCCAGGCAGTTCGCCGTCGTGCCATTTTGTGGGGGAGAGGACGAAGAAGGGGTGGGTGAGACCGAAACGTCTCCGTAAGATTCATGTTCCCCTCGTGATACACAGAGATCCACTCGTTTCGTAGGGAACGGCCGGCATTGAAAAAGTTGGGGTAAGAGCCTCATCGAGAGGCCCCCAAGAGGCGATCGGCAGCGGGTGGTTGCGTCGCCGCATGTCGTCCGTCCTTGGAGACGGGCGTTAGGTAACGATGGGGGTTGGGACATGAACCGAACCATTTGGTGAGGAGTATAATGAGTGTCTGGTCTTTTTTCATACGTACGTTGAAGTTTCTAGCTTGCCGATGCAGAGCCTCGGTATCTGAAGCGTTGGTTTAGTTGGTGTAGTTCAGAGTGTCAGGGGTAACTGTTCGACCGAGTGAGGGTGCCACGAGGTGTCCAACGATCAATGGGCCTAGAATTTGCGCTTCTTTCGTGCCGGGCCGGCCGCAGCTTTCCTTTCCAGTTCCTTTTTTAGCTCTTCCCGCTTGCGGTTAGCCCTCTCCTCGGAGGTTTCTCTCGCCTCTGGTTCCGGGTCTCGCTCTGTCGTCCGCCCTCGCGTGTGACCCTCACCGTCCCCGTCCCCGTCCCCATCTGGCGGGTGAGTAGCAACAGACTTATGGCCGATTTTGCCGAGTTTCCTGGGCGTTCGTTTCTCTGGCGCCGTTGCTGCTGGTGTGTCCTCGGTTCTGGATGAGGGCGCAGGCTCTTCTCTCTTGGTGCCGCCGATGCGACCAAGACCACCCCGCTTCTTGGGGGTCGTACCGGCGAGTGAAGAGGGCGGGGCTGGGCGGTCTCTCGTTGATCCAGACCCTCGTGGTTCCTCATCCAAGTCGGATTCCGTCTGGGATTCCGTCTCGGACCCATCCCCGCCGGGAGTGGATGGCCGAGGGGGCCGAGGCGGCGTTGGAGAGGGGCGCTTTTTCTTGCCAATAGCGCCAAGTCGTGAAGGAGGCCTGTGTTTCCCCTTCCCTGCATCTGAGGGCTCGGCTGGAGGAGGAGATGGCGAGCCGTCTTCATCCAGAGTGGACTCGTCATCACCATTGGCCTTTCTCTGGTCTTCAGCATGCTGCCGAGCCGATGGTCGAGGTGGGGGGGTGGCTTGGGTCTCAAAAACATCATCATCCTCGTCAGCATCATCGGCTGTCCGACTCTGTAAAGGGAGGGTCTTGTTCTGCGTCTGAGAATTCCCCCGTCTGGGTCCAATGATGGGTATGCTCGATGCACTACCGAGTTTGGTCCACCAGTTGTCGAGGGCTGGGGAGTCGCAGACATCCATCCCTGAGTGGTACGCAAGTCCCGTCTCGCCAAAGACGGCTTCGGTTAGAGAAGGGACATCTTTTGGCAGCTCATCACGGGCGGCTTGCTGGTCGTCCCACACCTCTCGCTTGAAAGGGGCCAGACCGCGGACCTTTTGCTCTGCGGTACTTCTGGAAACCCTCTGCTTTGCCGAGAGGGCTGGGAAGATATGTTCTAGGCGGGTGCCAGTGGCCTCAAGCTTGTCCAGAAGCCTGGCGAGGACAGCGTCCTTTTGGTGGATGATGTCGAGAAGCGAGTTCACTTGCTGCGTCCTGGTCAGGTTGGCCTGTATGAGCGGTAGAACCAGCTCGGTGGCGAGCTGCGACGGGGGGCATCTGTGCAAGACCATGGGCCACCGGAGGGGGTCTAAGCCGGGAAGCTCGCAAGTCATGTTCAGGACGAGAACGTGGTCACCGCCACGGCCGGATGGGGGATCGACGGACAGGGTCAGACGGCTATCGGCGTGGTCCTCGTGCGAGGGGTCGAAGGCGGAGCGGATGCGCGACAGAAAGGCCTGCATGTTCTGCGGACTGTCGGTGGGATCGATGGTGGTGTCCTCGTCGAGACTTCGCCTGTAGATAGCCCTGCGGTCCATCACCTCGGCCCATAGGTTGGCCATGTCGGTGACGCGGATGGTGTAGGAATCGGTGGCGAAGGCGGTGGACACAAGCAGGGCCGGTACGCCGTGGGGGGCCGGCACAGCAAGAGGGCGCCAGGACGGAGGCGTGTCCATGGTGTCAGTGTCCGTGTACGCACCTTTTGTTCAGACAGTGTCCGCGGGGGTTTTTTTTCTTCTTATTTTCTTTTTCGTAGAAAATGATCAGACGAGGTGTTCACGGCTGTGTAACGTGGTGTCTAGTAGCGCGAGAGTTCTCCCAGCCCCGATGTTCGGCTGTTCACTTCTAGCGTAGGAGAAGTGGAGGGAAGCGAGAGGGAGAAAAGATGATAGAAAGACGCACGATACGGGTGTGGTTGGTCGTCGTTGTTGGTGTGACGTTGCCTATCTGAGGCTACATAGACGGTAGATGGGTGGCCATACACCCTCACGGTGCCGGCGCCCTTCCTTTTGGAGAAGTTGACTCTCACAGTGACATTTCAGATTCGGAAGTGATGTCACAAGAAGTTACTGGATTTGTCGTCCGGTACCGGCATCGGTTTTACTCTTCTGGTGGTTGAACTGACGGGCCGGATCCTTGCACTGTCGCTGGAAGTGAATCATGTGGAGCGAGTGAGAAAGGAGGTGATACGTCGGAATTTCTCGCGATTGTCCCCGAATACGTCGGAGATGGAAGGAGGTATCTGGAGGAAGAGGCCTGGCGGAGAGTTGGGTTTGGGTCGGTCGAGTGTTGTCCTGAGGAAGTTTCGATCGAATATGGTCGTGCTCAGTGAGATGTGGAGGTGTGAGACCAGACCGAATTCTTAGGCAGCCTTGCCGATAAGGGCACTGTGTAGAAAAATTTGAGATTACTGTGTTCTGTCCCGTATTGGTAGCTTTCCCCCTTTCCCCCTCGGTATATGTTTGATAGAAAGTACCGATGTCCCCAGGAAAAAGCAAAATGGAGAAGTACCTATTCACCCTTTTTCTCAGCGTATGTACTTCGTACGAATTCGCCCTCGACAACGTGCAGGGGGTTACATCAGCCCAATTATGACATATTAACCGCCCAAAACCTACCAATGAGCTGTCCAACCACGACGCTTCATTTGGTTTCGTCCTCTTTTTCCCCACCGTCTGGTGCGAGACGTCACCAGTCCACTCCCACTCGCTGTCCCTGTCGCCTATCGCCAAAACATCACCTTCGTTTGGATATCTTATTGGGACTCGCGAACAAGCACTACCTCTGCGGCAGAATGGGAGCAGACGAGAGAAATTAACATCATGACAAGACTATACAGTCCTCGACGGTCACAGCAAGTCATTAAATAACGGTCTCTCCCCGTGGAGACCGCCAAGGAGATGTCTCAGTCAGACGCGGCTCCTTGCCGATGGCCTCAGGTTCAGATTGATACCATTCCTAGGATATGGAGATATGAAGAATGCATCGATGCTCGTGATTTCCTCACCTGCCCATTCCTCCCCCCCCCACGGGAAAGGATTTCCGCCAGCCTTCTACTCCACAGATGCGAAGGTCGTTTAGCTTCACGTGTGCTCTTTATGGGGATATTTTTCAACATTACGTGGTCAAGGACATCGTCCATGGATTGGATGTCGGGCAAGCAATGGCGACCCCGTGTGGCGGCCAGATGAGAGCCGAGGACCAGGGGAGGGCCAGACCCGGGACAGGGGACAGGGGGCAAGAGCGACCTCCAGCGTAATTAATTACTTCGTACGAATACAGTGAGCTCATTCCTCTTGGCAGGTCAATTTCCCCACGTCGAGTGCCGTCCATCTCCCGTAAATACCATGTCAAAGACCTGACCCGATCATGCGGTTGTTTACCTCAGTTCTCCCTCTTCAACCCTTCCGAGAACCCGCCGCCGCCTCATTCCAGGTGGCGTTCAAAAGTCACGTCTGGTTCAAGCTGCTGCTAGCAAGAAAAACCGTTCTGCCTACCGAGCTCTTCCTTCCGCAATTATGGGCCAGAACCCCAGCAGTTTGGCGACGTGCTTGAACGCCGTCTGCAGCGGACGATCCGGATGTGTCGCGTATCCGAACACCCCGCTATACCAAGTCGCCTGGGTTGATCGGTTCAACCTCGACATCCCCGTCGAACCTATCGCCGTGACTCGCCCCCAGACCACGGAAGAAGTGGCCGCCTTCGTGAGGTGCGCCGTCGAGAACAATGTCCATGTGCAGGCCAAATCGGGCGGTCATTCCTATGGGTGAGTTTTTGTCCCTTCACTTTGGGGGGGCCTTTTTCCTTCTTTTTCCTTCTTTTTCCTGCTTTTTCTGCTTTTTCATTTTTATTTTATTTTTTCTTCTTTTTTTTCCTCCATTGTCTACACCTCCTACCTCCTACATGCTCAAACTCGTCGTCCTAGCAACTATGGCGTCGGCGGCGAAGACGGCTCTCTCGTCATCGACCTCCGGAACTTCCAGCACTTCCACATGAATCGCGACAACTGGCAGGCCACTATAGGCGCTGGCCATAAACTGCACGACGTGACCAAGAAGTGCCACGAGAATGGCGGCCGTGCCATCTCCCACGGTACTTGTCCTAGCGTAGGCCTCGGCGGCCATGCCACCATTGTGAGAACAGCCTTTCTTTCCCCTTTCCTTTCCGTTCCTTTCCTTCCCCTTTGCTCAATGCATGTCGTCCCCTCCGGGGCCACCGTCCTCGATGCTAACTTTTTCTGCGCAGGGAGGCCTCGGCCCCTCGTCTCGCATGTGGGGTTCGTCCTTGGACCACGTCCTCGAAGTCGAAGTCGTCACGGCCGACGGCGAAATCGTACGCGCCAGCGAGACCCAGAACCCGGACCTCTTCTTCGCTCTCAGGGGAGCCGGCGCCAGCTTCGGCATCATCACCGAATTCGTCATGCGGACCAACCCGGAGCCCGGCAACGTCGTCGAGTACACCTACACCATGACCTTCGGCCGCCACCGCAACCTCGGCCCCGTCTTCGAAGCCTGGCAGGACCTCGTCGTCGACCCGAACCTCGACCGCCGCTTCGGCTCCGAGTTCGTCCTGCACGAGCTGGGCGCCGCCATCACCGGCACTTTTTACGGCACGAAGGAGGAGTTCGAAGCCACCGGTATCCCCGACCGCATCCCCGGCGGGAAGAAGTCTATTGTGATTGACGACTGGCTCGGCTCCGTCGCGCAGAAGGCCCAGGAGAGCGCCCTCTGGCTGAGCGACATCAGCACCCCCTTCAAGGCCAAGAGCGTCGCCTTCACCCGCGACACCCTCCTCAATTCCCAGGGCATCAACGAGCTGATGAACTACATCGACCGCGCCAACAAGGGGACCCTGATCTGGTACCTCATCTTCGACGTCACCGGCGGCGCCATCAGCGACGTGCCCCTCAACGCCACCGCCTACCGCCACCGCGATACCATCATGTTCGGCCAGGGCTACGGCGTCGGCATCCCGAAGCTCAGCCAGAGGACGCGGGATTTCTTCGAAGGGATCGCGTCGACTATTCAGTCGAATGTGAATGGCACCCTCGGCACCTACGCCGGCTACGTCGACCCTCTGCTGGAGAACGCCCAGGAATCCTACTGGGGTTCTAACCTTCCCAGACTCGAGCAGATCAAGAGGGCCTGGGACCCGAACAATGTGTTTTCCAACCCGCAGAGCGTGCGGCCGGCCGAAGAGAGCACGTAGATGGGGGGGGCAGGGTGGTTCGGCACGGAAAGCTTAAGCGACCCTTCGCACTGGAAGCGTCTCATCCAAGGCAGCTTAATTGATGAACTTGATGTTATTTCTTCCGTCTCCATTTTGAGTGCATCGTGATACATCTTGTCATAACATCCCGCACAAATCGTTGTCGTTCTGTTGCATGGTTCATGTCGGTCCTGAGTTCGACCAGAGTGACTGTACACTTGTGTTGGAAAGGAATTCGTCTGGTTGTTCAAGCTAGACGTGAGAGAGACATTCCTATGGGGCGTTGTGCTAACATGAGCTGTTCCTCAGACTCAGTATGACTAATACTGTTATCGAGGAAGGATTCGATCCGCCAAAGGTCATGGGGGACGGAATCGAAAATTTCCACCGAGACTCACCGACAGAGGTACCTCCCTACGTGTACCTTTCCGTTTGCCCACCAAACAGAAATTCCACGTGACCCAATCGCTTGCTTCAGGGTTTTCCACCCCACAGCCAAAAAACTAACAAATTCCCCAAGTATATTCTACCCTTTTCGACGACCTCGCCGACGACAATCCGCCCTCACCAACAAGCCATTAGCACGGCAGGACACCCTTCACAAACGCAAAAATGGGCAAGAACATGTAAGTTTGTTCTCTCCGGATGCTTTTTTTTCCCGATCGATCCTCCGATTTTTGGCGACCGTTCGGAATGCGGCAAAGATACAGAGACAAGTGACGGAAAGAGAGGGAGGATGGGGAAAAGAAACCTACTCGAAGGACGACCTAGAAAAGAAAAGAGGGGGGAAACCACCGACATGCGAACGGCTGGCCTGCTGCCCATCGTCTGATGCAACCCTCCGAGATGGCAATTAAACTTTGGACACGAAAGAGGATGTGGCCATGGCGGCGCCGCAGATGGATCGATCGGGATTGATTTGCGCTCAGGAAATACACGCGCGGGACAGACAGGGTGCTGACGGAAGCGATGCAGGCGAGGTGCCCCTGGTGGCAAGCTTAAGATGACCCTGGGTCTCCCAGTGTACGACACACTCCCCCCTCAACATCCCCCCCTCCCAAATCCCAAGATGGGCCGCGACGAACCGAAGAGACTGACCAGCGATACAGCGGTGCCGTCATGAACTGCGCCGACAACTCGGGCGCCCGCAACCTCTACATCATCTCCGTCAAGGGTATCGGTGCCCGCCTCAACAGGCTGCCCGCCGGTGGTGTCGGCGACATGGTCATGGCCACCGTCAAGAAGGGCAAGCCCGAGCTCCGGAAGAAGGTCCACCCCGCCGTCATCGTCCGCCAGTCCAAGCCCTGGAAGCGCTTCGATGGTGTCTTCCTTTACTTCGAGGACAACGCTGGTGTGGTGAGTTGCCCTAAACTCTCGGTGTTTGGGGAAGGAGGAGGGGAAGGGGAAGGAGAGGGCCAGCGAAAAGAGGGAAAGAGACGAAAAGTTGGGAGGTTGTCGATAAAGGTGTGAGGAATGTGGCTGACAGGACAAATTCGCAGATCGTCAACCCCAAGGGTGAGATGAAGGGCTCCGCCATTACTGGTCCCGTCGGAAAGGAGGCTGCCGAGCTCTGGCCCGTGAGTTTTTGTCCCGCCCCCGTGCTATTGGGATTCTTTGTCCCCTCCCCCCATTTTTTATCATCAGCCACTGACCTTCTCGACAGCGTATTGCCAGCAACTCCGGTGTCGTGATGTAAAGGGGAAGATCCTGTTAGACGAGCAGCGGAGGACAACGACCAAGCCACTGGATTTGGGTCACTGATGCGACGACGACGAACCGAGAACAACCTCCCCAGCGGCGGTTTCTGGGGACGGGAACAAAATGGGGGGGGGGGGTGATGTCCTGGTACGGAGGGGGAGAACACGGGTTCTTTTTTTCTATTTCCTCGCTGGATTGGCAAGGCTCTGCATTTTGGGCTGCGGCGGCGTGTAAAGGACAGACTTCATACCAGGCATTCGCATCGGGGCAGACAAAAAGATCCCATGATTTGAGCAACCACCACCGGTCGCCTTGTTCCTTTTTATTGCGAGTTGCGAGTGTCGAGGGCATCCTCGTGTCGTGTCAAGTCATGATATTGGGTCTCACTGAAAGAGGACGAGGGAATGAATGGCTTTTTCCCCTGTTAGGGATTCCTGATAAACGAGAAACGAGAACGATCACCAGTTATGGTCAACATTGTTGGTCTATTTGTTTGCACTTTTGCGCATCAGTGCTATCTATTGTACCTCGGCAGACTCATCGTTGTCTCGCGTTGCCTATGCCACTGCCCCTAGGCCTTCATCTCTCGGCGCAGTCCTTAGCCACGCGGGATATCCACATGTGACATTACAATGATACTCGATCTCCAAAGACAGTGACTTATCCTCAGTCTGTATATCCGTCTATGTTTCCGCTACGCCATGATTCCCTCGTGACTTTCTCCAAACACGTCGTACGAGTGATCCATAACCAATTCTTCATCGTCCTTATGAGCCAGTCAAAAAACACTTTTGTCGCTTTTCCCCCAGGTGGTCTTCTTTTCCAGGCCATGCTCTCTGTATATAGTCGCAGAAGTACAATAAGCGAATGGGGGTATAGTAATGCAAGAATGTCGAATCCGTAAATACGATTTTTTTTTTTTTTTGCTTGTTCTTTTTTTTCTTCTTTTTTTCTTCTTCTTTTCTTTTTTTTTCCTTTCTTTTTTTGCGACAGGGCTCGGTCCATTAATGGAGCTCCTTCTGTCCGTTGACGTTGACCATGTGATGGTTAGTGCCCGTTGATGCCAGTCGTTGCAGGTGGCGTCGGGGCGCCAGAGTTGTTGGCTGTCGCGGCGGCGGCTGCGGCCTTTTTGGCGGCCAAAGTTGCTTTTCGCTTGTTGACGGCGCCCTGCATGCTTCCATTCAACCATCGTTCTGCAATAGGGTGTTAGCACGGACTGCAAGGAAAAGAGAAGAGAGAGAGAAAAAAAAAAAAAAAAACTCACTCTTCATGGACGCAGACATCTTCTCCGACTTGGTCATGGTCGCGTAGTCCTTGAGCTCCTCGCCGGCTAGGCTGGCTGGTGTGGACGCAGCAGCCGACGATGGCACCGACTGTGCCGCCGAAGACCCGGCACGATGATGATGCCCGTGGGGAGCCGTCGGTGTTAAGGATTCCCTCCCATCGTGCCCATTGTGGTTGAACACACTCCAATTGTCCCTGCCGAGATGCTTGAAGGTGACGATCATGTGGTCAGCCTTGGCCGGGGAACCTTTCTGTGAGCGAGACGACGACGACGTGGTCGCAGCGGCATCAAGTTGCTTCAGAAGGGCGTATGACCTCGTGTTCTGATGCCGGCCGGTTATGGCAGGACGATGATGATCTGCACCCGCGACGGTCTGCTTGAGATTGATGCGGAGCCGCTTCTTGGCGGGCTCTGTCCCCGTGGCTGTGATGGCCTCCTCGTCCGCGTCTGCCTCGTCGTGGTAGTTTCGCTGTCGCTTCGCGTGTCGAAGACCGTAGGTGGAGAAGAAGCCTTCGTTCTCATTGTCGGAGGTCGCCGATGTCACCGACATGCCATCCGTCGTGTCGGCCGCCGCAGCAGCAGCAGCAGCGCTTCTACCGTTGTGCAGCTTGGTCGATTGGGCGGTCGGCCTGCCCCGGCCACGAGTCGTGCGAGCACGCTTCGGCGTGGGTTCTTCCTCCGTTTCGTCATCGTCTTCCGTGGCTTCGGACATGGTGTCTTCGTCACCCTCGGCAGTGGGAACAGTGGCTGCTGCTATGGCCGCCGCCGCCGCCGCCTTGGGCTTTCGGCCGCGCTTTCGCTTGCGAGGCGACTCGGACGTCTCATCATCGGCATTGGGCGAGCCCGCCCGAGTGTCGGCGGCGGCTGTTGCCCTTTTGGTCTTGGGGCCTCGCTGCTGTTTCTTAGGACCCTGTCCTAGCTGACTCTGGTCTTCCTCCACCGCTTGCGTTTGTGAGTTGGCGGCCGGTCGGCCACGCTTCCTGGGTGCTGCTGCGGCTCCTGTTGCTGTTGCCGTTGCTGTTGCTGTCACTGTTGTTGCTATTGTTGCTGCTGCTGCTGGCTTGGACCCACGGTCCACCGGGGTTGCCGAACGGTTGTCATCCTGTAACAAGCCTACGTACGACTTGGGCGGATTCCGGGTCCTCTTCCCCGTGACGACCAGACCCACGCCGTCGCCCCCGTCACCTGCCTCAGCGGCCTTGGCCGTCTGCTGCGGCTGGCTGCGCAGCTGTCGGCCAGCCATGATGCCGTCGCGTTGGGCGATTGGGTCCTGCTGGCCGACCTTGCTGGGATGAGGGTCGTATTCGAACCCGTAGGCGCTCGCCATGACGCGGTCCTGCCACCGCTGCCGGTAGGTGCCCTCCTCCTTCTCCTTGACGGGCGCGCGGTAGCCCCGGAGCTCAAAGTCCTTTTCGATGTACGACTCGATCTTGGCAAACTGGTTGAGGTTCGCCGTCTTCTTCTCGTATTCGGCGTCGTGGGCGGCGCGGCGCTTGGCGTTCTCAAAGTCGTCGACGCGCCGGCCGCGCGCCTGCCATTCCTTTTGCCACGTGACGAGGGTCTCGTTGGCGTGCGCCAGGAAGGCCCAGAGGTCTGCGGTCGACATGCTCTTGTAGTCCTGGAAGCACTGCTTGAAGTCCTCGGGGTCCCGGAGTTTGGTGAACCGGTATTGTTTTCGCGCCCTCTGGACGACGCGCTCCTGTGTGGAGGCTGTGGAGACCACATGCAGCTTCTCCTTGTTGCTGTTGCTGTTGCTGTTATTGTTGTTGTCCTCTGTGGGCACCGGCGTGTTGGTACCGGTCGGAGCAGCGGACGACGCTGGGGCGGGGGAGCCAGGGCGAGGTGTGTGGGTGAGAGGTGTGGGAAGAGCCGATTCGGTGTCGACGATGCCGTTCACTCCTGGCGTATCATCGTCGCCATGGGCATCAAGCTCGTTGTCGTGGTCATTCTCGTGCAAACCCATGTCCGCGCGGTCGCTTTCATGGTCTTCGCCGTCCCGACGTGCCTCTTCATTGTCACCACCGTTCTTCGCAGTTTCAGGTTCCGCATCGTCCGCCGCACCATCACCGTCATGGCCCTCGGCATCGTCTTCGTCCCCATCGGAATCGGCGTCTGCGTCTGCGTCTGCGTCTGCATCTGCATCTGCGTCGGCATCGGTCCCAACAACCTGCACCATGGGTTCCGGGTGGGTCACATATTCGCCCTCTACATAAGGTGTGAGGTGGGACCAGGGGTAGATTTTTTGTTCCCTTGTGCTCTCCTCGGGGCTGGTGCCGCGGCGTCCAATGTCAACAGCACGATCTTCTTCGGCCTGTTTTCTTGATCCGACGTCCGGGATCGAGAGAAGCCGGTGAATGGAATGACTGGGCGGTGTTGGTGTTGGTGTTGGTGTTGGTGTTGGTGTTGGTGTTGTGATGGGCAGTTTGCAAGCGTCTTCGTAGTTTGACTGCTTGATGGTTTTCAACGATGAATCCCCGGCAGATTGATGATTCGGTGACTGGGAAGGGTGAGATTCAGATTCTGATGCTTGAGGACCTAGACGGGAAATGGCTTCTCCCCCATGATGAGTCAATTCTGATGCAACAGTCGTGTCTCCATGTCGCCTTGGAGAATGATCAGTGTTGGATGGTGCCACAGTGCGAGTGTTGGGATCGTTGATGTCGCGTGTTGCGACTGCGTCGCCATGTGTAGAGATGCCATTCTGAAAGAGCTCTGGCTTAACATTGTGGCCGTTGACGATGCTTTCAATCAGCCTCGTCGCGGTCTCTCGTGATTGTCTTCGTCGCTTTGGTGGCATGGCGGAGGCGTGATGACCATAGTGGCGTTGGACCTGTGCATCGCCAGAGACGTCCCGATGATTGATGATGGGGCGAGTCGGAGTGGGCGAAGAACCAGGCTCATTTGACTCGTCATTCATTCGAATGTCTCCTCGCGAGGCTCGTCGTCGAGTGAGAGGCGATACGTGACTGTCGGATGAAGAAGAAGGAGGAGGAGGCGGTTTGACTTGACTGAGTTCCTTCTCAACGGCGGGAGACGTGGCGCCCTTCGGCTCATGGCCGAAGACGTTGACGGAGGTCCGTAGGTCGCTTGAATCGCCCACTACTTCGATGGTGTCTTGAACGACATCATCCGAATGCGGGAAATAGGTGTGGTGCTCAGGGTTCTTCTTGGCCGAAATCCTTCGACGGCCGGACGACGCAGCAGCAGCAGCGGCAGTAGCAGCGTTGCCTGTACCGGCAGCACCACCACCTCCATCGGCGATGCTAAAGTCCCGCGAAGTTGCCCTTCTCTGCTGCGAGCTGGGCAGCGGCAGCGGCAGCGCGTCTTCCGTAGCGGCTGCTTCGCTCTCTGCGCGTCGCCGGCGAGTGGCCGTGCGCGGAGCGGCGAGCGCAAGCTCGGGCAGTTCGTCCTCGAAGTCTTGGACGGAGTAGTCGATCTTGGTCCGCTTCCGGAGATTATGAGAACCCTTTTTGTACATGTCGTTCTCGTCCTCTTCGCCGGCGGCGGCGGGGGCGATGCCGCTGTCCATGCTGCCGAAAGTGCGAGTTCGCTTACGAAGCGACATGCCGCTGCTTGGGGTGGTAGGCGACGACTCTTCGAAGCCGAAGAATCCGGAGTGAGGGTGGGCGTGAGGCTGAGCATGAGAGTGAGGTGCAGTGGCAGTAGGGTCCTGCCGCTTGCCGCACCGATTCGGGGGCGCGGTGTGTGGAGTCTGATGAGATTGGTGAGAATGAGAAATCGATGCGGGCGGCGAACCAAGGTGAGAGGTTGGGGTTGGATGAGAGGCGGCGATGGTGTCTTGTTGATGGTCGGTGAGCTCAAAGCTGCTGGAAGGCGTGGGATGTGTCTTGCGGCGGTTTGGCCGACTGGTTCGGCTGCGGTCCATGATGATATGATGATAGAAGATGAAGACGAAGAAAGATGAAGATGGAAAGCAGCGGATGGGAGCTGCCTATAGAGGATTGGAGGTGAAATGTTGAAGGCGGAGGATGGACGGTAATTAATATGTGGGAAAAAGGGTCAACGGGATTTGAAGAGAAGCTGCGTTTCGTACGTCCAGGTAGTGATAAGCCGAAACGAATGATGGCAATCTTGAGAAAGACCTTTTTTCCCTCTCTTCTTCTCCAGAGGGTAGGGGGGCGGATCGAGGGTTTCTGGTGAAAAGAAGGAGGGCAAGGGAATCGTGAAGAATTAGGGTAGAAAAATAAGTAGGCTGAAGAAGAGATAATCGCCCAAGGGAAGACACAGAAGAGACCCCACGGTCCTGATGAGAAGGTGAACTGTAAGTGAAAGAGGAAAGACCCTGTACTCCATAAATAGGCGTCCTCGGACTTGGGCCTTGACGGTATTGTCGACAAGGTGTGTGGATGTGAATAAGAAGGACGGGAGAAGGAAAATCATTCGAATTATTGCCCCGTCGCCCGGCTCTCCCGTCTAAGCCGCAAGGTCGATGACCATGGACAGAACAGGGTGGATGACGGAGAAGGACTTCTCAAAATGCGTCAGTTGTACCGTTAGGGGGGAGGGGGGGAAACAATAGTAGAAAGGGTCAATATAAACAATTGACCAGAGCCGTGTAATTAAAATCGTCACTCGGTCGAGATACGAGACGCCCTGTTAATGGCAATTTTTTGAAGGTGTCTGTCTCGATGCTTTTCCTGGGGGATTTCCCCGATTCAGCCACGCCTTCCCGAGGGTGGTACGTACCTTCTCTTACCCGGCCCCTTGCCATTGTGGCTAGTGTATCTGCTCAAGCCACTGGACAGGGAAGTTGTGTTACCCCATTGGTTTTTGAGCTTAGGGTCTCCACTTATGTTCGGAGGACGAAGATACGGAGTAGGTACGAAGTTACTCGTAATCACCTTACTTCTTACCTGGTACCTTAGGTAATTAAATGTACATGACAACTCTGCTGTCTGCTCATTGGTAATCCCAGTCCGTCCAATGACATCTCCGAGAGTCAGTCACACGTACGGCTGACCATTCCCCATTAAGACTAGTCTCATCTGTCCCCTAAGGTTCTTAGGGAAAGAGCAGCATCTGGTCATCATTCGGTGATGCACTCCAGATTCCAGACAGAGCTCCTGGATAATTCCCCAAGGCATTTCGAAGTACCTTACGGAGCAGACACATTCCGTTCATATCGTTCACATACATATATTATACCGCGCTGGTCCGCCTGGGCATTTCTCTGCTTATTTCAGCCCGTCTGAGACGACATCAAAGTTCATTCATCAGGTTTCTTCGAAGCTACACGCTCCTTCCATTGTGCTGAAGCTCTTTGGGTAACCTCCCCTCCCTTCCGTGGATGCCGAGGAATCATCTCCCACCTTCTTCTCCCTCTAAACAACAGGGGAACAGGACAAATTTAACCTTGTATAGCTACCATCATGGCTTCCAAAAGGTCCAAGGCAGCCCCTGCCGGCGATGACATTGACGAGCTCTTCGAGGGCATCGGCGACGACCCCGCTTCCGCCCCCAAGAAATCCCTGGACAAAAAGCCCAAGCCCACCAGCGCCGCCTCCAAGGCCATGGTCGACCAAGACATCCTCGCCGAGCTAGAAAAGGACCTCGGAGAGCCTTCACGACCTCATACGCCCCGTGTCCGCGATCCCGCACCCAAGGGCTCGCCTGCCCGACAGGCCGCCGCCTCCACTACCCCGACCCAGGACGAGAAGCCCAGTGCTGCCGCTGCGGTCCCTCGCAAGTCCACCGATAGCGCCCGATCTCTGCGTGCCAGCTTCACCCCCAGCGCCACCAGCTCCGATCTTCAAGAGTCAGAGAAGAAGGGCACCGTCGAACAACAGGCTGCCGCTGCCGCTGCCGCTTCAACCGCCTCTACTTCCCAGGGCGGTGGCTGGTGGGGTGGCATATTCTCTACGGCCACAGCTGCCATGAAGCAAGCCGAGGCAGCCGTGAAGGAGATTCGGGAAAACGAAGAGGCTAAAAAATGGGCGGAACAGGTCCGAGGAAATGTTGGTGGACTGCGTGCGCTTGGTGAGTCGATGTGCCCAGGAAGACCATAAATTATTTCCCCCCATACAACTGGACATCGCATACATAGGCTAACCATCGCTTTCTACGACAGGCGACAACCTCCGCCAACAAGCCCTACCCACGTTCACCAACATCATCCACACCCTCGCACCACCTATTAGCCAGCACGAGCGCCTGATGATCCACATCACACACGACTTTGTCGGATACCCGTCTCTGGATCCCCTCATCTACGACGTCTTTTCCCGCGTCATGGCCCAGGTCGAGGGCGGAGATTTGATGGTCATCCAGCGGGGCCAGGAAAACACCGGCAGGAGATCCCACGACGTCGCCGCCGGCTGGCGCGACGGCCCTTGGTGGAGGCAGCCCGATTCGCGCCGCGATCTCGGCGTCGTCAAGGGCCTCGTCGAGGGGACCAAGCTGTGCCGCGCCGGCGCCGAGGGCTACGCGAACGAATACTTCTCGGCCCACGGCGGCATCGAGCTCGCCAAAGTCCGCGCCACCCAGGCCGTCAGCGAGAGCAACCCCGTCCGCAGCTCCGACGTCTTCCTGGCCGTGCAGGCCGTCGGCTTCGACGCCGACAACGGGCTCTTCGCCCACACCGCCGCCGTCGAGAAGGAGAAGGAGGCCTCCGCCGTCGCCGACCCTTCCGGCGCGGACGAGCTGGTCTGCTTTGCCCTCTTTGTCTTGGATCCCGTCCATGAGATTGAGTACTCGGCCCTCAGCCAGGCCATCCCTGCCCGATGGGTCCGGTGGCTGGATGCCGCTAGCCCTCTGACCCCTACGAGCGGCGACGACGACGACGAGGAGGAGGAGGACCGGGACTCGTCGGCCGGTGTTCTGGTGCCTGAGGAGATTCGGGAAATTATCGAGAGTGGAGCCGTTGATCCCCGAGAGTGGGTGGCGGAATGGATCGAAGAGACGCTCAGCCTCGCTGCCGGTGTCGTTGCCCAGAGGTACGTCGCCCGCAGGATGGGCGTTGGGGAGGGAGGCATTGGAAAGGGGAAGAGACCGGTGCAAGACGTCGCGGGGGATGGAGCCGGGGCAGGAGCCTGAGCTGGACTTGATTTAAGCGTCGTCTCCTTGTAGCTTTTCGGTTTTTCTTTTTCTTTTTCTTTCTTCCCTGATACTCGATCTTATCACTACATCTAATCTCGGGACGTATGTCTTTCACGAATCTGGCTATGGTCATGTCGTCTACCTTGACGAATGAAAAGAGAAGACATCAAAGAATCCTGGAGAGAACGGGGCGTCCGTCCCGCTGGCCCGTTGCCGTCAAGTCATGGACAAATCGAGGGGTCGTGATGGGTACATGTAGTTACGTTGCTGGGGAAGGCTTGCACGTTCGGCTCATGGCATTATGGATTATATAAGCAAGAGCCTCCGTGCGGAGTATGTACCGACCGGTTATGTACCTCGCTCGTAGTCATTCCACCAGAAAAATTCTCGCCTCTTTTCCTTTCCACTTCTCATCAACAAGTGACGAGCAGAAGAACAACGTCCATTCTTTCGGCCAGCTCTTTCGCCGAGGACTAAATTACGAGCTCGAGTGAGTCTCATTTGGCTTGATTCATGCCATGCAATGACTTTTGCTATTTAAATCCTTTTCTCTCTTCCTCCATTCCGCAGCCGAGGTACCAGCCACTCGATCGTTTCGTTCGCCTTCACGGCACATACAAACATTTCAACGAGTCTTCGTCTGACGAAGGTCTTCTCACGGCATATACGTTCTGTATTGCATAGAGAAGGAGGCTGCGATCACTTACCCTCGCCGGTATTTTCCCTTTCGGGAACTGACTGGTCGCTGCTAGATCAATGGACCATCATAGTCCACGCCTGTCTTTTTCTACTCTGGGTTGACGGGTGTTTTCCCTAATGCCCTGGGGTTTTTATGTCACACAGGCGAGGCTCCTAGCGCTCCTACATATTCACATCCATAATGAAGGCACCTTTTGTTATCCCATGTCTTGCACCGTCTTGTACCTTCGAATGGCCTACCTTAGTAAGTACCTATGAAAAGCAGTCAGCTGATGGCTAAACATTTGTCCATAGTTGCGTCATGACTTGAGCACCAGCGGACAGAAACAAGCAAGAACAACCCGTTGCAGGGCAGTCGAGCACCTAATATAACACACACACACATACACAATGGCCAGCGTATCTCTTCGTATCTTCGCCGTCTCGTCCTTCAACCCCCCCCCCCCCCCCCCCCCCCCCCCCCCCCCCCCCCCCCCCCCCCCCAAGATCATCTCGTGCCTTTCTTCGCCCTCGTCTTCGTCTCATGACCATTGCGTCAACCGTTGAAGTGAACTAGGACTATTTGATTCTTGTGGGTCGGCAACCACAGTCCATCATGTCTTCCCAGAAAGCGACCAAGTATTCTCATCTGCCCTTGAGCACGACCGGTCCCATTGACTGCGCCGTCATAGGAACGGCGCTGCTCAACACGGCTTACTTCAACAAGGGCACGGCTTTCCCCCCCGACGAGCGGAGGCAGTTCGAATTGACTGGGCTTCTTCCGCAAAGCGTGCATACCCTCGAACAGCAGGTCAAGCGCGCCTGGGAGCAGTACTCCGCCATGACCGACGACCTGTCCCGGAACACTTGGATGGCGTCCATGAAGGAACAGAACGAGGTTTTGTACTTCAAGGTTACTAGCTCCTTGCGCAGAATGTTCATGTTCGTATCCCGCATCTGACCTCGCACCTTACTCCAGCTCTTGATCGACCATTTAGACGAGTTATTCAGTATAGTTTATACCCCGACCGAGGGCGATGCCATCCAAAATTACTCGCGCATCTTTCGTAGGCCCGAGGGTTGCTTCCTCAACATTCGCGACCTTGATAGGGTGGAACACGACTTGGCCCAATGGGGTCACCCGGAAGACATCGACTACATCCTCGTTACAGACGCCGAGTCCATACTGGGCATTGGGGATCAGGGTGTGGGCGGCATTCTCATCTGCGTTGCGAAGCTGGTGCTCACCACCGTCTGCGCTGGCATCCATCCCAGCCGTACCCTTCCCGTCGTTCTCGACTGTGGCACCGATAACGAGTCCCATCTCCGTGACGATCTCTACCTGGGATTGCGGGAACGCCGTGTCAGAGGGCCCCGGTACGATGAATTCGTCGACACCTTCGTCCAAGCAGCAAGGCGTCTCTATCCCCGCGCCTACATTCATTTCGAGGACTTTGGCGTCGCCAATGCTCGACGAATCCTCGATCGATACCGCCCTGATATCCCGTGCTTCAACGACGACGTGCAAGGGACCGGCTGTGCCGTCCTGGCCGCCATCAAGAGCGGCCTACACGTCAGCAGCCAGAAGCTTTCCGATCTGCGCATGGTCATCTTCGGTGCCGGGTCGGCAGGTGTGGGCATCGCCGACCAGGTGCGCGCCGCAATCGCCACCGAGCGTGGCATCGACAAGGAGGAGGCAGCCAAGCAGATCTTTCTCATTGACAAGCATGGTCTCCTGACGTCCGAATCGGAAGTATCGTCATCCCAGAAGCCTTTCGTCAAGGATGCTGAATCCTGGAAGGGCAAAGATACCTCGCTGCTCTCCGTCGTCCAGGAAGTTCGCCCCAACGTCCTTGTCGGGACGTCCACCGTCCCCAAGGCTTTCACCAAGGAGATTGTCGAGGCCATGGCCTCCGGCGTCGGACGTCCCATTATTTTGCCGCTTTCGAATCCCACTCGCCTGCACGAGGCCATCCCCGAGGATCTTCTGAACTGGACCAAGGGCAAGGCTCTTGTTGCCACCGGATCCCCGTTCCCGCCCGTCAAGGGGCCATGGGGGAAACACGGCGCCCAGACCGAGGTCAAGATAGCCGAGTGCAACAACTCGGTTGTCTTTCCGGGTATCGGCCTAGGTTCCGTCTTGTCTCGCGCCCGCCTGGTCACCGATAAGATGCTGGTGGCTGCTATCCAAGGCGTGGCCCAGATGAGTCCTGCCCTTGAAGATGAGACGGCCCCGTTACTGCCTGGCGTCGATTCCGTGCGGGAGGTCAGCGTGCGCGTCGCGAGGCGCGTCATCCAGGCCGCGATGGCGGAGGGCCTGGCCACCGAGGTTGACATCCCCACCGCCGACGCCGATCTCGATGAATGGATTCGAGAACAGATGTGGGAGCCCGAGTATCGACCTCTGAGGCTAGTCGGCGCTGAATCTGCGTCGAGGGCCGCCAAGGGAGAGTTGAAGATTGCTGGAAGTATGAAGAGGTAACAGGTGATTATGGCTCCAACTCATGGCTCTGTCCTTCCGCCGCCTGTTTATTCCTCTTGCGAAGCCCGAAAATACAGCGGATATCATCGCGTAAACGAGTCGGGGGTTTGGTAAGGCTTGCCTCGTAGGCGTCGATGACGGGTTTGTCCCAGACGAGGTCGGCTCGGGACGGCGAGACGAAACGAGTCCGTTTGATGATCTTCCACGCGGTGAAGGTGACGATGGCAACGAAGACCATAGTGTAGTAGGAGAAGAAGTCCAACGTCTCCCATCGATCGGGCAGGAAGACGGTATAGCCAAAGCTTGCAACCACGCAAAGCATCCACGCGCCACCGATGTAGGAGCAATAGGGCTGGAAGTATCCATAGTAAGGGAAGGTCTTCCGGTTGAGTCCCTGGGCTTTGCAAGCGCGGTAGAAGAAGGCGTAGGTGACGGCCATGATGAAGTAGTTCATCATCTGGGCCGCCTGGGTCAGACTCTGCAGCAGGGTGACGACCTCGGCCGTACTGTTCGACACCTGCAGGAACGAAATGAAAGGGAAGATCATGACGAAGGCGAAGGCGTAGATGGGAATCCCGTTTCGTAGGCACTTGGTGAAAAACCGGGGGGCCTGTCCATCGAGGGCAAGTCCGTACAGACTCCGCATAGCCATATACGTATAGGCATTTCCGGCGCTGAAGATGCTAGTGCACATCAAAGCGTTGACGATGTGTGGTAGCACACCGATGCCCATGTTCTGCATGGCGATGACGTAGGGGGACGCCTCCGCCGTGCCGGCGCCAGCGTTCTCGAGTCTCGGGTCGTCGTACGGCAGCACGATGGAACAGGCGAGCGCGCCGCCGATGAAGAAGAAGCCGAAGCGCCAGTACACCGTCTTGAACCCTTGCTTGATGTACGTCCTGGGGCGCTGCGCCTCGCCGGCCACCATGGCCAGGTACTCGGGCCCGACGACGGTGAATCCGGCCGAGTAGACGGCGGCGAGGAACCCCTGGAATCGTCCCAGGTCTCCCGAGCCGATGTATTCCCGGAAGGCGCCGGGATATTGCCAGTTTCGAAAGCCGTAGGCGTCGCCCTGCGGGTTGCCGCCGACCATGGTGACGAAGGTGAAGCAGAAGACGATGAGGATGAGGAGTAACTTGCCGCTGGCTAGCCAGAATTCGGCCTCGCTAGTATAGGTGACCACCCACACCGGTTAGCGAGATTGGTCATTACTGGGTCGCTTCAGGTGTATTAATGGTGAAGGGGAAAGGGAAAGGGAAAGGGAAAGGGCGAATGTCTGTGGCACCGTATCGCTATATAAGGAGGGTGATACAACCTGAGTGCCCCCCCCCCCCCCCCCCCCCCCCCCCCCCCTTTTTTTTTTTCTTCCCATGTTGGACAGACGAACTGACTTACCCGAAATATTGTACGGCCACAACATTGAGCAAGGCGTAGAGCACAATGCAGCCGATGCAAACAGCAGCGACAGGTATGTCATCTCGCCAGAAGGTCAAAACGAGGTTCAAGGCGGCAATTTCGAAAGGGACAAGGATGGCTTCGTAGAGGAAGAAGTTCCAACCAGCCATAAAGCCGAAGGCCTCATCTACCCATTTGCCAGCCATGCGAATAAAAGAGCCGGTGACGGGCATGTAGACGCACATCTCGGCCATGCCGTTGTTGACGAGGCCTAGCATGAACGCATGGATGGTGTACCCGAGAAATAAGTTCGCAGGGCCACCACGCTGGAGACCCCCTCCGATGCTGACGAAGAGAGCCGTCCCGATGGAACCGCCGATGGCAATGAGCTGGATTTGGCGGTTGCTGAGGTGGCGTTTCAGTTGGTTGGTGTTGTACCGGTGTACGAGGCGCTCGTCTAAGTCATCGTCTCCTCCGGGGTCGTGGATGGAATTGTTGGACGAACCGCGTCCGCTCTTATTCTCAGTCTCGTTCTCATCTGCAGTCGGGGGACCTTGGCGGCTCGGGTCCGGGGACCCCCCGGCTATCTTGTCGTTGAACGGTGCTGCCGCCATATTGAGAGCAGGACAGAGAACTCCGCTGGGACAACGGAATGACGGACGTCGTGTACTTCGACTGCTGGTACATAAGAGCCGCTTGGGGTGTTCCCAATGACTGTCGAACCGTGGACGGGATACAGGAGAGAGAGCAGAGAGCGGGACAAAAGTAGAAACGAAGAGATGGGAGAACAAGACGGGCGGAGGATTTTGTATCTACATATACTTTGCACACGCGGGGCAGGGAAAGACAGGGAAGCGACATGGGAGTTGAACCACTCGAACCCGGACCAACGTCCTGGACTGGAGTCTCCTACGTCTTCACTTTTTCCTTTTCTTGTTGATCTTGTTTTCATAACCAACGAGAAGGGAAACCCCGCTATCCCTTCTTGGGCAACCTGCATTCGGCCTGAAAATCAGGGCGAAGACGCGGAAATGGGAAGTGGGCCAGGCTGAGACGGGCATTGTGGTTACGTGGTATACCGTATTGCAGAGACCCAAGGTACGGCGAAGTAAGCTGTAGGTAGTGCAGGTCGAACTACCGATGAAAATGCCTTGGAATGATGTCGAGGAAAAAATCACTACGTATGGAAAGAGGGGAAAGAGTTCTGTGTGCGCTGTGGAATACGAAATCTCCGTCTCCGGTTGCATGTGTCGTTGGGAGGTGGGGGTTTTTTCCGGCCGTGTTCGGTGGGTTAAGCGCCCCCATAGTGCTAGGGCGGAACGGCAGCTAAGGCGGATTTCGGAAGCACGGCACCGGCTTAGCTCGAAGTAGTGGGTACACGTACAGTAGACGAAGGGGGACGGATGGGGCGATGCCTTAAGTGAACCTTGAGTGCGCAAAGTATTGATGTGTACATACCAAGTACCTATACTAAATATCCCGACTTTAAGTTTGTGTCTACGTACCCCGAGGAAAGAAGCGACATAAAACGATACTTTGCTTTTGGCCTGTTGATTTTAACTCACAGCGGTCCTGCGCCAGTGATACTTGTGGCTTGAGGTCGTTGGTACTTGTACCTTGACTCCGCAGAACCCACTTTTACGGAGGTGGCTACCAATGACAGGCGCCCCACCCCACCCCCCTTACACTGTACCTTATATGTGTGGCTTGCCAAGTCCACTGTCGCGAACGCGACTCTCAACCTGGAAGAAACACCAATTCGTGGTACCAGAAGTGAACCCAATTCGCCAATGCCATGTCCGTTTCTAGGATCCAGGCTATGATCAGAATGCCCTCAGTCGCTGCAGGGCAGTGCTGCGGCCTGCCTAGACGGTTAGGTCCCATACGGTTATCTCGAGGACGTCTCTTTGCTACTAGGTAAGTTACGTACCGTTATCTCCAGATCCAGTCTCCAGACACACCTCATACTTCCGGTCCTTACGGTACAACGTCCCATTCTGCGCTCGCAAAGCGATGATGGAATTTCGCCATTGATACGACCGACATAGATCACTTTCGCCGCTTTACTCACAATATGTTCCAAGAACGACACATCAATTGGTAGATCATAGACGTATGTATATTCATATTCACATCTGTCCTGTTGAGGCTTCACAGCCAGTTCATCGTCTCAACTACTAACTGGCCGAGAGCAGAGACGTGATCATCCCTTAAGGGGGCAGCACCGTCGGGACGGGAGGACGAGTGGTCGTCCTGGGCAGCTCAGGCACCTCAGTCTTGGGCAAGCAGGCACAGGCGCTGCTGACACGCTCAATAGGGTCCCTGTCCTGGCCACCGCACGCGTTGGCGGCATACTCGGGGAGCAGGCCCTCATCGTCGTTCAGCCGGACGGTGAAGTTGCCGCAGAACTCCTGCGAACCCTCCAGGCGACCGGGGATGTGCTCGGCCCGCATGGCACGCAGGCAGTTGTTGGCGTTGCAGACGGGGGGCTTCTCGCACTCCTTGGACGTCATCTTGACCACGAAGCTGCCGCGCTCGATGGTGTGCACGAAGATGAAGCCCGACTTGAAGTTGGCGTACGACGACCACGAGCCCAGGAAGGCGACGGCGCCGCCGCCCTCTAGTTCGTCGTCCTCCGGGTACACGTCGAAGAAACCGGCCTCGCAGATGCTGCTGCCGGTGGGGTCCGTGGTGACGCTGCGCGCGTCGAGGACGTTAAGGCCGTTGCCGTAGTTGGACTGGTACAGGTACCCGTCGATCATGTACTGGTTATGGTCGATGGACCGCGTCTTACCGGCGTAATAGCCGGTGTACTTGGGGTTCTCGAGGTCCCGGATATCAAAGATGTGGGTGGTAGGAAGACCCTGGGTCATGGGGCCGACCTTGGCGTCACGCTCATCGAACTCGTCGTCCAGGAAGAGATACTCCTGCCAGGTCTCGTTGTTGACGACACCCTGGTGGATGTACTCGGCGCCGGGGAAATCGCTGACGGAGATGATGTTGGTGACGTTGCCGTTCTTGTCGGTGACATCGTAGATGGTCACGGTGTCCTCGTTGTAGCCGTAGCAGATGTCCCTGCCGTAGTAACGCTCGTCGGGTCCACGGTAGACGAGGCACTCGGCGTCGTGGACGTAGCCGTCGCCGGCCGCGCAGCCGGGGCTGGTCACGTTGGTGGGGTCGCTGATGTCGAGGAAGATCAAACCACCGCGGCAGGGCAGTTCGTCTCGGACACGGATGGTCTCGTTGCCACCGACGGAGCCGCAGGCGATGGCGTAGTTGAGCTCGTGGTTGACCACGATGTTGTGGGTGCGGCCGACGGGGAGCTCGTTCCAGTGGCCCGTCAGGTCATCCTGGGTGAAGTTCCTGGGGTTGGCAGGGTCCAGGTCGAGCAGCTTCTTCATGTCGAAGAACTGCACGCCGTGGTTGATGGCCTCGGAGCCAATGACGACGAGGTCTCGCACGATGCGGATCTCCCTCCAGTTCGAGCCGATGGAGTCGTACTGGGGCAGGCGGCCGAGGTACACCAGCTTGCCCTCGCTCGAGATCTCGGCGAAAGCAGTGCCGTCGTATTGACCGAGGGCCACGAACTCGCGACCGTCGGCCGAAGTCCAACCCCAAGACGAGGAGCCACGTCCGCCCCAGCTGCCGAGTGCCTCGTGGGAGAGGAAGTGGTACAAGTCGATCTATCATGCCCCGGATGTCAGCCCCATGTCCAGTATAGTGAAATTCCCGTGGAAGAGTCCGAAAACCCGGAAAAGCTTACGTTGCGGCACCTGAAAGTGTTGTTGACGTCTCCGGGAATGGCAGCAGCAAATCCGTTGACGCAGGGGGTGTAGCCGAGCTCGGGGTATTGCGAGCTGTCCATGAGACCGGCAGCCATCTCGGCCTCCCATTGAGCCTGCAAAAGAAAAGAGATGCGTTAGAACTTGGCGCTTATGAACGTATAGAAGTGAGCTCCAACAGTGATCGGTCGAATTATGCTTACCATCTTGAGGCCCATGATGCGGTGGTGAACTGCGCCGGAGGCATACTCCTCCTTAGAGCCAGCGCCAGCGGCACTGCTCAAGCCCACCATGGCGGAGCCAATGGCTGCCACGGAGTTGATGCGGACCATTTTGGACGGTGTTGACGATGTAGTAGCTCTGGTGATCGAGTACTACTACAGCCAAGGAGAGGAGGGTGGAAATTCGGGGGAGAAGCTTCGCAGCAGACCTGCTGAACCTGCAAGGTATTTGTACTCTTCAGACTTCCAGAGTCGCAGTGCATGTTCCTACATGTTGCTCGGCTCACCTTCCTCTTCTTGTCTGAGTTGGGGTACTTACCAAGCCGTTTGCCCCGCATCGCACAAATCAGATACCAGACATCGCACATCAGCATGGAGCAGCCACGGCCCACGGGTGTCGTGCAGCAAGCTTGTGGTCGGGGTCGTTGGCGGAAAAAAAACCAAGGAAAAAAAAAAAAAAAAACCGGGGGCTCTCCCTGTGCGCCGAGCGGCGAGCCGACCTCCCTTATTCTTCTAGAACCCGACAAGAGGGACGCCCGATGTCACCATAGGATGCTTGGCCGCTGATGCATCTCGAGATAAGCACCTTGTGGTTGGTGGATGGGATGCCGTCCCTGGGGCCCCCTGACGCCTTGGTAGCGAGTCAGGAACTTCGCGAGGTCGTCGGCATATGGGCGATTAGCTCCGGTTGTTGGAAGCTCGGTTCGAAGCCACCCGAGCTCTTGTTTTGCGCCACCGAGCCTTGGCTTCTTCCAAGGGTCTGGGGTTTTCTTCTCGTGGCTACCTGCTTTAGGCAGGTCTTGGTTGGTGACAACGACCTGCTTTTTTAGGTAGGTGATTGGCGTCTTGGCTGGTCGATAAGAGCTTGAGGAGAAAGGTTGAGGTAAGGGTACTCCGGTTTCGCGTCTGGGGAGAGGTCTTGATCTTGATAACCACATGCAGCCAGGGGTCCGTAGCAACGTAGCAACGGGACGCGTCACGCCGCGATCGGACTAGTGTACCTGACCTAGGTAGAGGTAGGTAGGTAACTTAGTTATATGAGAAGTACTGAGTACTACGTATGTAGCTCTGAGGGATACGGAGTAGAGAGTACTATGTACCTTGTACGCGTCACGACACCACCTCAACATCACAATATAGGTAATTAAGACCCGGTCTCGACTCGGTGCCTGATCTCATCCCCAAAACATTACAGTTGTATCCGTCTATATTGATATTTACGAGGTGTAGGTACTGCAGGGGTATATGAACAGCGGAGGCCCCATTCAGGAGAAAGTTCCCCTGCCACGGTTCCAACACGCGTCAGTTCGAGCTCGAACAACATGCATCTTACATCTTACATCTTGGTCGCCTCTACGCCTTGTGGCTGCCCAAGATGAAATAGGATATCATAAGGAATACTACAACCAACTCCGCCCCGATCCCCATACTATTACCCGGAGACCTTCGCTGCAAGGCTATGCCCGAATCAAGCTAACAGTATCACGAACCCTCCCTACGTTTTTTTTTTTACCCTGGCTTTCTTCGTTTTTGCCCTTTTTCTCTGTTGTCATCGCCCTGCTGAATGTTCCTCTTTTTCGTAGTCTGGCCGCTGTCCGTTGTGACGGTGCCGATGTGAACGTCTGAGCCGCCAGCTTCCTGTCCAACGTCTTGCCCAGCCACTTGTACAGTCCCTGGCCCAGAGGAGTTCCCCGAATGGGGCAGTGGCAGCGATGACATGGTCGGGTCCGGGTCCGGGTCCGGGTCCGGGTCCGGGTCCGGGTGCGTGAGCGTATCATGATCATGCGTACCCGAGTGTTGTCTTGCGGCTGATTGTGTAGTGGTCGGTGTTCCGGACTGCTCGAGATGTGATGCATCTGTGCCCCGCTCCTCCCACGCGTCATCGGTCTCTAGGCTGCGTCCTTGGGATAGATCAGGCGGCTGCTCTGGCATCGCGGCGGCCTTGACCTCTTCTCTCCGTTCTTCTAATAGCCCTCTCGATCCTTGTCCTTGTATTCCGGTTTCTCTTTCTCTTTCTGTTCCTTTCCCCCTTTCTCCCCCTTCTGCTGATGCGCTGTCACTAACCTCGGCCGGTGGCGGCGGCAACTGTCGGTCCTGAGGTTATTCAATGTCTGGGTCGCGGCACTCTGTCACTATCGGTATCTTCTGGTTGTGATATGTTGCATTGTCGTTCCAGTCAGCCACCTCGTCCCAGAGAGGAGGTTCCCAGTAGTTTTGTTCTCCGGACCATGAGCTATCTGGCGTAGCTTGACGTCGAACATCGATGTCGTCGTCCTCGTCGCCATGACCGGCATCTTGCTCGGAAGCGTTGATGTGCGCCTGCCCGACGAATTCTTCCCAGTGCAAGGCGGCACGGCAAACGAATTGCAGGAAGCTGTCCAGACTGGCGGTCCGGCCGATTTTGAGAGCGGCACTCCGAACATATGGAGATGGGAAGGCATCCCGACTGCACATAGCCTTGCTAAAGATTTAGGAGACCAAAAGCTCTAGCTCCCGGCGGCGCTCTTCGAATTTTTTGGCAAGGAGCTCCTCAAGGTGGTCACAATCCCGAGCATGCCTTGCGGCCGAAATGGCGTCGGCGAAGTAGGCGTCTTCATCGAGCAAAGGGATGGTGATCGTATTAAACCGTTTGCAGTACTCATTCCAAAGCTTCCACGGACTTCGGAATCCTCGCTTCGCGACGCCTATCCAGGCCTTCTCTTTCTCGCGAGACCCACATGGTGGATCGTGGAAGGGGGAGGGCATCGTGCTTGGTAAGTTGGAAGTCTTTTGAAGCTCCCTGCCGACTGACCGGGTTGTGTATGAAGTGCTTAGATAGTACGTTCTCAGTGCATGTCGCCGCTAAATACCGTTTAATGGAGGTAGAGATGTAAGGATTCTTGTGGTGTTGATTTTGATGGATGGATGAAAGACGGCGTGAAGATGATGTGTTGGTTAGTCCATGTCGGGAAGGCCAAGGGGGCTACCAACTTACCTCTGCGACCTTGCGGAGTCAAAACGTCTACACTGTACGGGTAATTACCTGGGTACCTGGGCAACCTAAAATCTACCTCCACCTAGGTACCTTAGGCACCAGCCATGGCAATCAGTAATAAGTTACCTACGATCTGGGGTCGCCTCGGCCCGCCGAATTGGGTCCGTCCTGGGCTTTGGCTCTAGCGCCATGTCATTCATTATACGTGACCTATAAAAGACTACTAGGCGAGTATGTATTGGACAAGTCTGTACACTATACGAGTACTTTGAAGACAACAATTATTGGATTCTGTGTGATAGAACCCTTGTAGAAAGGCCGTGATTGGGTGGAACTGTTGCTTACTACGAGCCTGGTCGCCGATCTTCAACCTACCGGTACTTTATACCCACCTTCCCTTGTGTACAACGTATGGATAAGGATTAAGGAGGGAATTGGCATCGTCGGAAGACTACGTCGGATCAGGGACCTTTGGGTAGATACACCAATACCTATTACTGCCCAATTTTGAACGCATATTAATTATTAGCCACGCCCGGACATCGACAAGCCCCCACGTACTGTCGCCCTTCGAAAGTATTGTTTTCACCCACTAAACCAGACTCCTTGCCATTTCTATTTCGCACTTCAACATGTCATTGCCTCCAGATGAATCTACCTAAGCCTTTAGTTCGACAGAATGGCAAGACCGTGTTGGTCGGGCTACAGCCGACCAAGAGCAAGGGATTAAGCCATCATCACCGCGCACCGGTAACCTTCAGCTCGCCAAATTAACGGAAGCGTTTGCGAACGCGTCCCTTGACTCAACGCCGGATGCCCGTCTTGTTGTCACCTGCCGTCCGGGCAGCAGCGGGAGCACAACTGACCCTGCTGTGATACGCCTCCCATAGAGCGGAGAAGACTGGGACGTAGTCGGTATAGTGCAGCGGACGCACGATATGGATTTTTTTCTCTCCCTCCCGTTCTACGACCGGGAGTACGACACTCCGCCCCCACGCCATATTCCTCACCACCTCCGCTGTAGCTTATACTACGAGCCAGCCAAAGACGATTGTCTGTTCGTCCATCAGTCCGACACACCTGTCTATTTAAGCTGGGTCGATTCTCAAACAAACAGCCGAGATTGTCTCCCGCCGGGCGATAGTCGAGTAGTCGGTCCTGGTATATGGAGTCTCTGTAGGGGGGGAAGATGATATAGCGGAGGAGCAGTACCTTCTTCAGATTGTTATTTTGCGGCGAAAGTATTCCTTTGCCATATACAAGACACCAGGTGAGACTTCGCAAGTGTCTTCCTTTGTCTCTAATAAGCGTTTGGCACCGGAAGAGGAGGGCGAGGAGGGGAAGGCAGCCTCCAAGAGGCGAAGGCGAGAAGGCGACGTGACGGAGGTGCTCCTTGCCCCAACCGCGGCCCACCTACTTCGCACGCCCAGTGCTGCTAGTCGCAGTGTTACCGCCGCCGGTACCGCCGCCATGGACCGTTACGCTAGGAGTCCCAGCCTGGGTACTCTGCGTAGTGTCCGGACCGGTGGGGCTGGGACGCCACTCCTGGATCTCCTCGATGGCGAGTTCGCGGTCGTCCGGTCGGAACAATCTGAAGCGGTAGCCACCCACGAGTCGGCGGCCAATTATCAACTAAGCCGCCTCCGACGAGTTGCCAACACACCATCCGCCAGCTTATTCACGGGTCGGCATTCAGCAGTCTCGGGGAACATTGTAGCCAGGGTTAGGGTTAGGGTTAGGGTTAGGGTTAGGGTTAGGGTTAGGGTTAGGGTTAGGGTTAGGGTTAGGGTTAGGGTTA